CGTGCCCGCCCTAAGTGAAGGCGGGCCAGCAAATCAACAAGAGCCCTCTTTGCAAACATTTCACGAAGTGGGGTCCATACAGTTGCAGCACGCCAGTTGGTTGGAGTGCACCGAGTCTCGGATCTCTGCAAATGCGGAAATCCCAGGGCCCCTGAGTTGGTTAGGCCCTGGGCACATAAACGTGAGGCCGACAATGCATGCTGGATGTAGAGGCTGAAAATGCCAATGGAAATCGGCCCACTATCTGAATCTGGCCGCAGGCCTTGATGAAAGAGGCACAACTGCATCTCCCGGGCCTCAACTGTATCGGGCCTGGGCTCAGGTACTGGGGCCCAGACGCAGGCTGAAGGGAGGCCGCCCACACGCAACACTGGCATATAGGCAAGCAGGGCGAGTGGGTAAGGATCGTGGCCATTGCGGGCAATGCCGGCACGCTGCGCAAATGCGAGGTGCTGCGCTGCTGCGCTGCGCTAGGCTGAGGTGCGAGACAGGCAGGCGCTAGGCGGTAGGGTGCTGCCTGTACACAGGGCGCTGGCGGCCATAGCCGGGCTGCCTGAGGGCGCAGGGGAGGTGAGGGCGAAGGTGGTTCTTCGGAGGTGAAGGGCGCTGTGTGGGATAACAAGGGAGAGTGTGGGTGAAGGAGGAGACGTACCTGGTGGAGGTGGGAGGTTGGCATTGGTGTTGACATCATCACTCGCTGGTCGTCAAGTTGTCTGGTTGCTTTCATACTGTAGTGGTAGTATTAGGCTTTAGAGTAGGTAGGGCGCCTGGCGCCATTCAAGAGAGCTACATTCAGTTATGCTGCTGGTGTTGCCCTGTTGGGCTTGGACATTGACTCACGATTCTTCTGTATCATTCTCAAATGGATGGTTACTCGGTTCCATTGTGCTATCTGCTCTTGCTTTGACTACTTGGACTTCAGTGTGATTTTGCAATTTGGATTTCTGTGCTTCGTCCATATTCATGTTCCTTGCAAGAGGATATTGCGCTCATGTGCCCACCGATTGCGGTGGGGTGCACACAAATCAGGCGGGGCACACACACACACAAAAAAAAAACAGCACATAAAGAATTGAAGAAAAAAGTTTTCTCTCGGCCTTTGTATAAATTCAATAAAGATAGTTTCCAAGTTCCAACTTTTATAAATTCAAAATTTTTCAAGCGATGAGAGTTTGCGGATGTGTCTCAGCGAAAAGTTGCTTAGGGCCCAATTCCCAGAATATAATGAGAGGCGAATCCCTTTGGCGGGTTTTCCCCAAAAACAAAACAAAAAAAATGTTTCTGTTTTACTGTTTTACACTATGAAACGGTATTCACCGGTTCGCAGTAGCTGATGCAGATCCCAGGGCTCGATCCCTAGTTCCGCATCTTACCTGTGTACAGTACTGGTGTCAACCCGTAGATTTGAACCTGCGACCTGTAGGACCGCCAGTGGTAGGTAGGATTTCGTAGGTTACAGGGTAGAAGAGATTCGAACTGTAGACCTGTCGGATAGAAGCCTAGACAGTCTAGAGGTCGTAGCTGTAGACTGCCCGAAGGGTCAAGGTCGTAGCTGCTACTTACCTGAAAGGGCAAAGTCGTAGCTGCTACAGTACCGAAAGGCCAAAACAGAGAGTTCTAGAAGTGG